TGTGTGTGTGTGTGTGTGTGTGTGTGTGTGTGTGTGTGTGTGTGTGTGTGTGTGAATGAGATCCATGATCCTATGTGGATCTTACCTAAATGATTTAATATTGTTACACAGTGAACGCTATACAAATAAACATGCAGGTCAGTTAACAATAAAAAAAAGTTTTCCTTTATTTATTGTTTAACATCTTTCCACCCCAAATACATCTGAAGTAGCCTGAGTTTATTAATTTTCAGTGCCCCAAAATTAAACATCAGTTGTTTGCTTTAAGGATATATCTGTTTTGTTTTAGATTTGTTTTTTGTGGGGGGGTTATGATAATCTTCTCAGTTTCCAAGTTCTCAAAGACATTTACAAAGTAAAAACCCCATTAGTGTACAGGAGACAGAATACCTGACAGTTTAATCTGTTTTTAAAGGAACAGGTCTATAAATTTGTGAAAACTGAAAACCAGGAAATATTCTTGATGTGACTTGAATATTCCATCCTCTTCTACTTATCTGATTCAGGGTTACCTATCTCAGACAGATTGAGAGGCAGGGAATACTTTGAACAGGTTACTAGTTTATCACAAGATTCACATGTAGAGAAAGACAACTATTCACACCTACAGCCACCAAATAACCCAACCCAGGCATGTCTTTGTGACGAAGACATTGTATCCAAAAACAAGCTACAAAAATACGGGGGGGGAAACACGGCATTAACAATATTTAAAACCGTCTCATACCTAAAGACACAGGAGAAAATACAGATAACAGATTCTTTATATTTCCTTTGCTGAACAGCACTGTTGCAACTGTCTCAACATCTTCAGCACAGTTGCAGTTTTGCAAACAAGAACAAGAACAAGATGTATAATTTGTCTTTTAGGAAGAACGTGGGGATAGAAGTGTTTAGTGTCAGAAAAGGAGGTGTCCACATTACATTTATTACCTCACCTGACCTATAAACATGAGCACAAAAGTCAACCATTGAAACTAATTTTACTGTTCAGCACTGCAAATAAATAGGTTTGATTTGTTATCTTAATAAAAAGCTTTTTTTGTAAATTCAAGGATGACAACAATAATTATATTTTAGCATTAAATAAGCACACTGGTGAATTTACTATTAGACAAACATAAAAGTCATTTTGCTAATCATCAGTATTGTTAATTTAGTGTAACTGTGGCATAAACCTCACATTTAGGTGGTGTTCTAATAAATTTGTTAAGCATTGTATATCCTGCTCTCTGTGTCAGTTTGCATTAATTTGATGGGAAATGCCATCTAAACGCGAGAAAATGCAGTAAATTATTTTATGATTTTATCTCATGAGGGTAAAAGTTTGTTTGGAGAGGATAAATTCTTCAGGGAGCTTAAAACCCCACCAGGTGACAAACAAGCTCCTACACATCCTGTAGCCTAATCCTCTTACAGAACTGGGAAAAATAACCCATGGAAAAATCGTGAACTCTGCTTAAAGGGGCTATGGATAGACAAAAGTCTCCTTAAGAGAAATCACATGAAGAGTGGTAAGTCGAGCCCTTAAGTTGGCCCAGTTAAGAAACACGCAATCTCCTCAGTGTGACAACATTAATCATCACTGACGTTCTGATGATTAACCAGCCAGAAAATCATTTTCCAAATATCTATACCTACGTTATTGTGTTTATTCCAACCCAGTCGCGTCACTTTATGAAACTTAAAGGTTTAAACCTTAAACCTAAGGCGAACACGAGGTTGGTGTGGGAACTCAGCAAATCCAAATCGGTTGGTCTGATGGAGGCACGAAGATTATCCCTCCTGTAAATATGTTTATGGTCCAGTTTACTCACGGGGAGTAAAGGGTTTATCCATACAGCTCACTTCAGGATTACAAACGGTATAAATACTGGAAGCGCTCCACTCTCTGTTCAGTCTGTGCCAGCTCTCGCTGTACGGTTACGCGCGGATCACGGACACCCAGACAAGTTTCATCTCGTTGTTTAAAAAGAGACTGACACGAAGTCAGACAGGAAATTGTCAGCGCAGCACTCTTAGCTTTCCTGCGAAACTTTCTGGGAATAATCAGGACTATGTCTGTGGTGAGCGCAGTGCGTTTCCTGAAGCCTCTCCACATGCGCTCTCCGGTGCCTCAGGGCCGCCGCCACACGCTGCCGGCCAGCGAGTTCCGCTCCCTCAGCCCGGAAGATGCCATCAGTGTGTTCGAGATTGAAAGAGAAGGTAAGCAGACTCTTTGTAACTTACGTTACATAGCAACGGTTCTTTTAAATACCTGCCTGAATTTCTTCAGAGGACGCGCGTATTTATGCAGATTTACACACGCGAAGCGTCTTTTAGGCAAGGCAAGGCAAGTTTATTTGTATAGCACAATTCAACAACAAGGTGATTCAAAGTGCTTTACAGAGACATTAGAAACAAAAACAAATAAAAAGCGTGATTTAAAATTGATTAAAACAAGCAAACAAACTAACTAATTAACAAACAAACAAACAAACAAAACAGATAAAATCAGAACAGTAGATAGTCTTTTAAGAAAACTGCGGGCAGAGATTCTCAGCTAACACATATTTTATTTATGTTCTCCGACTGAATAGAAAGCTCTCTACAAACCTGAGCCATCACTGATTTTATTCACGGGCAGATTCTCTTCAGTTAACTGTCCTGTACACTTTCCTTGTGCTTGGCAGTCAGTACATTTAGGGAACATCACGCTCAGCTTCTTTAACATCCTGCACAACTAATAAAACTGTCTGATTGTGGCAACCGTGACCCTTATCTTCTTCCTCCTCCTCCTCCTCCTCACACAGCTTTCATCTCTGTCTCCGGTGAGTGTCCACTCCACCTGGACGAGGTGCGTCACTTCCTTACTCTGTGTCCTGAGCTGTCTCTTGGCTGGTTCGAGGAGGGACGGCTGGTGGCTTTTATCATCGGCTCACTGTGGGACCAGGAGAGGCTTACCACGGTAAGACGGAGCGGAAGACACCTGGACAGTGATTTATCTCCGGTTGAGAGACGAGCAAAGATTCAACACAGATTAAGAGAGGCGCTTCAAGTGCATAAAATTCAGTGGATAGTGATAAATCTTACCGACATACGAGTTTAGTGCCAACCGAAGAGAGAACAACAATAATCATGGAAGCTGCCTGACAATTTCTTTTAAGCCTGCAGCAGTACGAGTTTTAAGTTTCCACCTAGCAGAAACAATTAAAAAAATCAGATCTTAAATTTCTTCATGATGACACAGTTATGTGAATCCAACTAAGAATGAAAGACTGTGTTTGCTATAAACATTTAATATTCGAGGACTGCAGGCTGGAGTCAACATGTAGCTGATATATTTTCAAAATATTTTAGTTTTTGAAATAACAAACTGCAGCTTTTAATCCCAAATAAAATCATCATTATCATTCAAGAGTTTATTCACCATCTTTTAATTCTCATATTTACTTTTCATTCTTTCATCTAAAAGTTATGATGAATCCTGCTGAAGTCATTTTAACTCCAATATGAAATTATTTTTAATGAAACCAGAGTAATTTAAACTTGAGCACTTCATTTAGCTCTTTTAAGCTTTAAATATTTCTGTGGGTACCCAGCAGGATGTTTTACTTCTACTGACAGCTCTCCTCTTCCTCTCCAGGACGCCCTTACGCTCCACAAGCCTCACGGGACCACCGTTCACATCCACGTTTTGGCCGTCCACCGGACCTTCCGCCAGCAGGGAAAAGGCTCCATCCTGATGTGGCGTTACCTGCAGTACCTCCGCTGCCTGCCCTACGTCCGCCGTGCCGTGCTCATGTGCGAGGACTTCCTGGTCCCCTTCTACCAGAAGTCAGGCTTCAAAGTGCTAGGCCCCAGCAACATCACAGTGGGGCCCCTTAACTTCACAGAGATGTTCTACCCCGTGAGGGGCCACGCCTTCATGCGGCGCAACAGTGGCTGCTGAAGACACAGAGACTCGATGTGGATTCTCTATAGCTGTGAAAGGAGGTGAAGACCCCTGAGAAACGGGGAACAGGGGGCACGTGATAAGCGGTGCAGTGAGTGTTTGTGATCATCGCTGTCTGTGAGTGAAGCCTGTTTGTTTGGCAGGAAGTGAGGTGTGAATTCTGACCCGGAGTCTGCAGAGAGCCAAAAACAGAGAGATGTCGACAGCAGCGGTTTGCAAAAGTGTCCTGAAAGTAAGATTTGATTTGCATTTTAGTGAGTTCGTTACACAAAAACCAAAATCCCAAATCTTTATTTTGATAAACGCTGGACATTTATTAATTGTGTCCAACAGAACTGCTGCCTTCTTTATTTATTTCTTTTCTTCTTTTTTTAAACAGTGAGGACAAGTTTAATTAAAACTAATTCCTTTAGTAATTCTCCAATAATATGTAACAGCTGTACAGTTAAAATGACAAAGGAGGGATATCAGCAACGCTAAATATTAACATTTAATTTATATTAAGACTTCAGTGATCCCGTGACTGACCGTTTATAAATCGGACGTGTGGCACTTTAAAAGTCTGTCTTCTTTATGGTCTTGTCAATTTTCTCTTGTAGACAGCCACCATTTTTGCCTCGGAGTCTTAAATCAAGACAAACTCATTTTTACACTGTTTTGTTCTAATAAAAATTTTATTTTCTAACCTCTCTGTCTTCATATGTTATTTACATTTTTAATTACTGCTGAACATGAAAGGGGGATGTTCATTTTTACATTTGTCTGGGCTTGCTGAGGACCAAAGTGTCTGAAAAACTGACATTTAAAGTTTGTTCTTGACCGAAGAAAACAGCAACCGAGGAAACATATCTGAAGCTTTCAGCCTTCAATAAATGTCAAACTCATTTTACGACAAAGACCATATACAACCAAGTGACGACTGAAACGCCACTTTCTGTCAGTGTAAAGATACTTAACTACACATTTAATCTCTGTGATATCTTAAACAACAGGAACTTTCTCTTATTTAATTGTTAATCTATCACTTAGTTGTAGTATAAATGGCTGTGGGGGAGGTCTATCAGTAGAAAAAGATGTAAAATGTATAAAAATTATAGTTAAAAAAGGTCCAAAAATGTACACTCTCCTTCATATTTTCCAAAGCTGTCCTGCAGGCCAGATTGGAGTCTTTGCCAGGCCAATACTGTCCCCCTGCACTAATATATAAAAATAAAAAAAATCAAGTGATCTCTATAAGTCTTCCTTTTCTCCACATACATCTACAGCAGTTCATCATATGATGGGTGTATTGCTGGGGAGTAAGTGCAGTCAGGTTTGGGAAAACATGAAATCAAACTACTCACAAACGTATTGTTGACAGTGTAATGTATTTTCACATGGTTGCTTCAATACACATAATTTCACATATAACAGTACCGTGAACATCTCCTCTAATTAATTTTAGCATTCCCCTTTTGTTCCAATAAATAGGGGGGGAAAAAAAGTGACATTATTTGGTCCCGATGCACATGCAGCTGGCCGTACAGCTGCTGCATACAGACATGATGGTGGAAGTGGCTTGTTGTGTTTCATGTTAAACATTCAGATGCGCACACGTCAAAAGGCACAGTAAAGGTTTCCTTAAAAAAAAAAAAAGAAGAAGAGGAAAGAAGAGAGGTGGATGTCTTTGTTCACACTTTACCCATCAAATGCACGAGGGTATGTCTGTATGAGTCCTGTGGCTCCAGCAATGCGAAAAACAGTGAAGCAAAAACTCAAAACATCTGAAGCATCCAACAAGAGACCTACTCTGGATGCTTTTGTGTTGTCTTAAACGCAGGATTATCCGTCAGTCAGTCCTATAGACTAACTCACGTAATCTCATAATCACTCAGTAACTAAACTCACATAATCCTCCACACAACGGTCAATATTGTGGTTCTAACAGTCCGGGTCAACTCAAACAAGAACCCCGAACAACAACAACACCCGTGATGGGGAATCAGTTTCACTTCAGGCTGTCGGGCCTCTGAAACATGTCGTTTCCAAATCTGCCATCAGCTGCATGTGTGCAGAGAAGTTTGTCCAGGTTTGAAATCATTTCAGAACATTACCGAGTGAAAATGAGAGGACGACACATTTTACGGTGCATTTCAACAACGTTTCAGTACCTGGGCAAAACATGGAGGCGATCCCGTGAGGCTGACTGTTTCACAGAGTTGGAAATGTAGTACAAATCTTAATTTGATCTGAGAAAAGCAGCCCGTGAGATCATTGCTAAATAAATACCCTTTTCTTGTGTCCATTTTTTTTTTTCACAGATTAAATTTAAAAAAACAACAACAAAACACACAAAGGAAAAAAAAAGCAAACAGTTTAGGCACCACTGTGTTACCAGACAAATACGATCAAATAGTGATTAAAAAGTAGAGCTCAAGTAAAAATTTGTTCGTGGCATTGGCATACAGAGAAGTGGCTGTAAAAAGATCATGCATACACGAGCTCATAAAAGCAGCATGACAACTTGCTTTGGTAGCTGAGGGTCAAAAAATGTCTGTCATTATTTACAAAGTTGATTACAAGCAGTATTCAAAGGTACAACGAGGCATCTCTGTAAAATGCCTCTGTTTAAGGCAACTAGGTGCTGTAGACTGAAACGTGCCTTAACTGCTGTTAGTACTTGGATCACATCATTTACTTTAGCATAACATTTCACTGCTCCGGAGACTATCAACATGACAAGTGCATACGCGCAATGGGCAAATACAAAAACAAAAAACAAAAAACAAAAAAATACAGCAGCAGACGGCGTCTGTAGTGTTAATCCAGTGTTACCGAAAACAAGGAAGCATCTGAAATGGGCTACAAGATGCTCAATGACCCGCTGTGGTATCGTCGTCCACAGAGTTAAAGGGAAACGACTGTCAGACAGAGTCGTTCAAACCTCCTCCTTCTTTGACTCGGCTTCTTTACTTCAACACGACTCTTCATATACACTGAAGGAGTCTCTCACTCCGTAGATCTTTTGGATCCATCAGCTCTTTGCAGTTTTAATGTCCTGAGTGCCTTTTCCTTTTTTATGTACATCGGTTAGCAAATTAACATTGCAGGTCGTACCAGACACAGAGGACTAAAAAAGGACTGGATATGTTTTATCGAAGGAGGAAAGTCAGCTGACTTTTGAGGAGGAAGTGATCCAGTTCTGGTTGCATGGAGTTTGAGTAGAAAACAATATTAAAAAAAAAAAAAAGAGAGAGAGAGAGATTTAAAAGTGCCCACCCAAATGACTGATCACATCATTGGTAGTAGGCCGTCAGCACAGGCAGTTTGATAATTTAGATGTCATCTGTGGCCTCCAGACTAGTTCACCACATGTTCGATGTCGTGGTCTATGTCGTATTTTTCACAAAACTTGTTTGTGATCGGTAAGCAGGTCAGATGCTCCAGCCAGTGGAAGTTAATTGGGTGAATATAAAACCAAACGATGAGGGAAGCGAACAGTCCGACGTAGGCCAATAACGAGACGGCGATGAGGATACGTTTCCGGTACTTGTCGAATGTCCCGAAGGTGACGTAGGGCAAAAAGGCAAACGAGAGCAGCAGGCCGCTGAGGAAACCGAAGATGTGGGCGATGTTGTCGATCCACGGCAGAAGGCCACACAGGAAGAGGAAGAGCACGATGCACGACAGTTTAGAAAAGGCTTTCCAGGGCTTCTCCAGCATCTGCCAACCCTGAAACAGCTCAACAAAGAGGCAAGCGAGGAGCCCAAACTGAGACCCCGCTGGACCCACCTGTCAGGAGAGAGAGAGAGAGAAAAAAAACAAGTTACACAGGAACTAAAGAGGATTCCTCCAGCATGCACGCGGCTTCACACAGTGTGCACAGAAAACCTAAGCGCCTGACTCAGCACTGGACCAACGCATGATAAGCATCAGGTGCTTTTAGTGTGTCCTGGAAATCAAAGGCAGACATCCTGTTAGGGGGCAAACAGGATGTCAGGGTGACTCTAACTGCTCCACTTAATTGGCACATTACACAGGCTCACACATGGTGGTAGTAGTGGTGGTAGTGGTGGGTGGGAGAGGGGCGGACAACTCCTGGAACAACTTTCCAGGAGTTGTCAGAACAGAAAAACAGAAAAAATAAAAACACATTTTAATAAGATGATTTGTCAAACTATGTTATTTGCAGAGGAAACCATTAAAGTGAACTGTGTTTGTTTAAATGTGAAGCAGGTCTCTGAATTAATCAGTGATTTAACAACAGCAAATAAAGTGCAACAACCAGTTAGCTCGCTGACAGACAGACCAGGCAGACGCGCCGTTTAGGCCCAGAGCAGCAAAGATTTAACCTGATTACCGAATCCTGGCAGCAAGTACCAGGATAGTATTTTAAGTAACAATTATTTAAATCGACTCATTATGAGTCACACTAAGAGGCTTAATGCAGTGTAAACTGTAGTTACTGTAAGTAAGGAAAGGATAAAAACTCACCAGCATCTCTCATAAATTATTCTTTAAAGAAAAGCAGACAGAGGTTCAGAGAAGTTTCTAAGCGACTCTCAGCGCATCCACACTGAAGCTTCCTAACTGTAATGCAGGTTTAGTTGTGCACAGATTATCTTATGTTAAAGATCCAGTTCTGGGGAAGATGTGCAGTATGAGCCCAGGGTCACGCAGTAAAGGTGAGCAGATTAAGGTGACGTCAAAGCTTGGCCTGGTGAGAGGCAGATGGCTAATCGGCAAAGACATTAAACACCCACAAACATTTTTTAAAAAAAGAAAAAAAGTGCACTCCACCCACACGCCCCACACACGCAGGCTGACACGCTGCTCACACGAGTCGTCGTCACTCGCCATTGGTTAAGACCGACAACACCGGGGCTGGAACAGGAACTGAGAGGATGTCTTAGTTAACCGAAGTGAGGACGTGCCAATCTGAAGTGGGGAATGTGCTCACAGATATCCCACTTCCCTTATTTCAGGTTCAGATTAAAATCCTATTTTTTGCTCCTTTAAGAAAAACGAGCTGCCGTGAATTTTAAACTCACACTGTTCTGGTTTCTACATTAATTTGACACAAACAGTCAGA